TGCATGTGCGTCTTTTACTAGAAAAGTCATACATAGGTAATTTTAAGGACCGTAGCACTTATCACGCTGCGCTGACCATGCAACGCTTGCAAGAAAAGGTGAGTGTGTCCAACGCTTTGCTAAGACGAGATGGTGGGGGCACCTACCCGTCGCCTTGCGTTCTACACCTTATCACCTCTGAGACGGGCACGCACACCCGTCTCAGAGCAACGCGCTTCGTTTTGAAGAAAAACTGCCAGATGGCGCTCATGTCTCACGTGTGACGTACGTATAATGTCTCACTTGTGATGTACGCAGATGATATAGTGCTAATGGCCGACAAAAAGGAAGATTTGCAGAGATTGATGGACATCTGCAGTAATGAGGGAGATGGGTTAGATTTCAGATTCAGGAAGGGAAAATCAGCAGTCATGATTTTTAATGACAACGAAGGTAGTGAGCTTAGAATACAGACAGAATACGCTAGAGATAACAGATAAATACAAATATCTGGGCGTATGGATAAGCAATGGGACCGAGTACCTCAGGGAACACGAAATATACAATACGACTGAAGGTAACATGAATGCATCAGTGATGAAAAACAGGGCACTGTGGAATTACAATAGGTATGATGTGTGAGAGGAATATGGAAAGGGGTCATGGTTCCTCCTTTGACGTTCGGCAATGCGGTCTTGTGCATGCGATCAGAAATTCAAGCAAGATTAGAAATTAAGCAACGTGGAATAGGTAGGCTTGCTTTAAGAGCTCACGGGAATACACCAAAGCAGGAAGTACAAGGTGATATGGGATGGATATCATTTGAGGGCAGGGGAGCTAAAATTTGAGAAGCGATTGAGAGAAATGGGGGAGGAGTGTTTGGCTAGGAAGGTATTCAGCTACTTCTACATGAAGAATGCCGATACAAAATAGAGGAAGAGAACAAGAAAATTGACTGGTAAATACTTAGAAAAGAGCAGGGGGCCATACCAAAAAGAATTATTGGTTAAGATGGAGGTGAAGGATGCTTAGACCAATATGTGGAGAATCGGCATAATTGAGAAGTCCGCACCAGAGATCTCTCAAAATTTTAAGCAGGAAATTGCCAAGGAAGGGATCTATGATAATACTCGGGGTAGTTCTCTACTGTTTGAGGCCAGGACGGGAGTATTGTGAACCAAGATATATCGGGCCAAATACGTAGGGCTAGACACGGTATGCTGTGTTTGTGGAGAGGAGGAAACTGCCGAACACTGGATCATGTTCTGTAAAGGCCTCACCCTATAGTTCAGGATGATGGCGTAGAGTTTTTCAGCACACCGGGGTTTAGAGACAGGGATGGCAAAATAGACTTTAGGGGGGTAGAATTAACTAGAAGGAGGTTATCTGATTGGTGGCTAAAGTCAAGGTACGAGTGACAATTAAACCATTCACTGCAAAGTGCTAGTCCTATACTTCACTATTTAATAGAAATAAATATATCTAGTTTTGGTCCACTAAGTATTACGGCTTGGTAACGTTAGCCACCACCCGATCTAAAGGGTACAGCCTTAACAATCTATCCATCCATGACGTGACTTGATACACTCGTTCACCTCCGCTGCACGCTCGAGGCTTCTAACGCAGTGCCTCCGGAATATCATTCACCGATTTTCTTGCGCAGAACATGAAATAAATGTTTTGTTCACTCTCTCCACAAGCAAGACTAACGTCTTTCGACGACATTTGCAGATTAACATGCAGATACGGGGCCTTTTTTTTTTTTTTTTTGAGGTTTGAACAGGTTTTAGCGGGATGGGTCAGTGCTCTCCCATAGTGGAGTACGAAGAACTCGAAATCGTTAATCATATGTTTCTCACCCCCCCCCCCCCCCCCTGTTCTGCCTCTGTAATGTGAGGCCTATGGGATGGTTTTACGCTCTCCCATAATCGGAGTACCTAGAACTTAACTTGTTCACCACTTCTTCTCAACACAGCCCTAGGGATTCCGTCGACACTGCCTGGTCGTGATTATTCATCAGCAATGCAAGCAATCCTCGCTAGGGACGTTGGAGCACTAAAGTTCCTGCTGCGTAACATTTGTCTACGTGGCCTCATCAAGTGTGAGGCCCACGAAATGGCTCGATGCTCTCTCAGAGTCGAGTACCTCATAACAATTTTTCTAAGCACTGTCTACATGTCATCGTACATGCCCTGGTAACTGGGACGGCTTTCTGCTCTCCCAAGTGCAGTAAAAAACACTCTAAATCGTTAAACACTTATTCTATACACACAATCTTCGGCCAAAAAAAGCACAGCATATCCACGGAGTGCATGCTGATGAGTGGGGCGAAGCATCCGTCAGTCCGTCCACGCTGCTGTTCGTGCGTCTGTGCGTCTATGCGTGCGCCCTTCCGTCCGTCTGCTTGTCTGTCAGTCTATCCCTGCGTCCGTCCGTCCTTCTAGTTAACACTCCAGGTACCGCCATCTCGCATCTTTTTATCGCGATTGTCTCTCTCCTTATCCTGTGGCACATACTCACTCTTTCGGGTATGTGCCACCAGCGCTTACGCGCAACATGATTTGGCCGCAAATAATACACACACAAAGTAAAGAAACACTCAACGACAAGCACAAGCGGCACTTCCAACTAAAGTAGACCGGGCGAAAATACAGGCTTAAGTAACAACATACAGACATACGCAGTCTTCACACAGCCTTACACAATCCAGCTATCGAACAATCTCTCTTCCGATAAGTACAATGTCGCCGACGGTTCGCTGATACAATTTTCACCTTTCTTTTTAATGTAATATGCTTCCACCAACTCACGCGCAGTTTTATGCCTACTTCTACCTAGAATTTTAACCTCGTTAAAACGTGGTACACACCTGCAGGCTTTACAATGCATAGGCGAATGCGCCAAGCCATCTTTCATTAACTTTAATTCATGCTTCCTAACCCGTTCTTCAGCGCACAACAGGGGACAAAAAAGCCACGCCACAAGGAGCTTCGCCCCTAAATATTGACAGCATATCCACGGGCGAATGATGAAGAGTGGAGCGAAGCTGGGTCTGCACGCCACTGCCGCGCCACTTCGGCCTCCTATTGTCGTACTGCAGGATCCTCGAGGCGCCGCCACACAGCTTCGCGGCGCCCTCCTGCCTCGCGCACCCGCACGTCGGGGTCCCTTCTTCGAGTGCGAGCCGCCGCCACCACCCTGCGCGCACGCCGCTCAGCAGCCTTGTTTATCCTCCGTTGCCGAGCCTCTTAATGCACGTGCGTGCCATTACATACGATCGTAGTCGACATTAAACACGAACACACAATCGTAGTCGCGCGAAGGCATCTCTCGCCTTCCGTACGTGTGGCGTCGATCCTTCTTTTCTACAAGTAGCGCCTTTAGGTGTCGTACCATTTGCATTTTTCAGTGCATAGTACAAGTACCGCCCTCTGTGGCCGGTTCAAGAATTAACGAGGGGCGGTTTCACACAACAGGGATGCGCAAGCCACTCCGTAAGGAGCTTCACCCCTAATAAACAGACGATATGTCTTCGTAGTCAGCTGGCTGGTTAGTCAAAGTGCCAGTAGAAGCCACAATCACGCCATGGTAAGTAAGTGTTCACTGCTGAGCCCTTATCGTACTCAGAGCCTGTTGTTGGTGTTTTTTACGCTTTTTTGCTCTTTCTTCATGTTCTTGAAGACAGTGTTTATATAAGCCATGTGCGCCCTCATTTTACAAACTCTACGTTTCGGTTTCTATGTGTGGCTTGAAGACAAACAAAAAACTGTTTCAACGTTTAAAGTTATTAAATGCGAAGATTTCTTAGCGAACTTTGACGACTTTGAGCGTATCTATCTATCTTTCCATCTATCCATCTATCTAGCCGCTGACGCTTGGGTGCTCTCGTGGTCATCCCCTGAACTTGACGTGAACCAAAATCAGCATGGAAAGGTAAGATGGTTTGACGAATGCGACGCGCGGGTTAAAACATTAATAATGCCACAACCCATCGCGTATGTCGTCAAACACTTCCCACCAGACAGTGGCACATACCCATGGGCGGGTATGTTACGTGGGTATGCGAATATGAGCCACAGGTGATTGGCACGTATTATTTACTTAAGCACGACGAGAACACACATGGGCAATTTTAACGCACGAGCGTTAAGAAATACTTGACACCGGTAGCGTAAATACTTGACACTGGTAGCGTCAACCCGACAAATGCAAAGAATAAATATCAGGGTCCCAGCTGGAATCGATTCCAAGCATTCTGGGTGGGAATGAAACATTTTACCACAAAGCTACGCCAGGTCACAGAACTAGTTTGCAAATAGACGCTAATCTTAGGGAAACTTGAGTAGTGGTTACAGTGCTGCCTACCCAATTTTATAAACTTTGCATATGTACTCTTTTGATAGAGTCATGTCGGGTTAACGTCAATTGTTGTTAGTTACCATGCGCTGAAGTTTATTTAGGAGCAGTCTCCAGGGCCAGCACCTTCGCGAGCATCAACGCTTCATATCAGCTTCTCGTATTGCTAACACGCATGTTCACGTTGGCTTTGTTGCGCAAGTGCAAACAACTGGTTATATAAACATCTGCAACTCTACAAGATATGTCTGCGCGTGCAACATTTGTACATGTATTTAGCGTTAATTCAGGACGTGTCGCTCAGTAAAAAAAAATTGCAACCAGGTCACCTTTCCTTCGCGTGCTTCGCATAACGTCGATTCCCAGGCACGTGGTATCTGCCGATCTTTTTGTGCCTCTTTCACTGTAATGTTCCGATTTTTTTAAAGTCTAGCTACTCTACATAAACTATATACACGTGTACTGAAGTTACAATAATTGTGGCAGCAGCGGCAGTAGTGCTTGCGCACTGGTTTACGCATTCTCCTTGCTTGCACAGAATCGGGAGCATCTGCTAGTTGACCTGCACGTGTCAACCATTGGGCTATCTTGTCAAGCGAAGCAAAATCTACTTTCAAAGCCACCAGATGGCACTCGGCCGTCCCGGCATCGCTACTTAAGCTCACCTTCGACCACTCGTAGCAGTAGTGGCAGTTGTGCTTGCGCACTGGCTTACGTATTCTTCTTTCTTGCACAGGTTGGTTCAGACAGCTTCTGTCGTTTTATTTATTATCCGATTTCTGTCGCTGCTGCCATGAACGGTTTTAAGCTGCTCCTTGTACCCATGTCTTGTATCTACAGTGCTTTGTATAGTTTTGTGCTGCTAAGATGCTGGCCTATGCTGAACTTTCCAAGGAAATAGATGAACTGGAGTCGAGGCTGCTCAGTGAATCTGATCGTATGATCGATCGCATCGTTGACAAGATCACTGAGAAAATGAAGTCCTCGAAGGTCGATGTGCTAGAGCTAAAGAAGCACGTGAACAGCCTCAAGTCCAGTTTAGAATTCCTGAATGATCTGGTTGACAAACTGAACAGCCTCACTGGTAGCTGAAAACAAAGCCCTTAAAAATGAAAATTGTTCACTGTCTCGCAAGGTCTCAAAGCTTGAGCAATACTCACGCATGAATAACGTCGAGATAAGGGGCTTCCCCTGCACTCAGGGTGAAGAGTGCGTGGTCATAGTGGAAACAATTGCCGAGAAAATTGGATGTTCAGTTACTCTTTCAGATCTCGACGTTCTTCATCGAGTCCGTTAATAAAGATACGGGAAAGATGAACCTAATCGTGAAATTTTGCTCTCGGGCAAATAGAAGAATTTCTTCAGCAATGCACGAAAGGCAAGGCTCTGTCTTGGTGACATCGGCATGTCTGATGGCACCCACTCTATTTTCATTATTGACCACTTGACACCTCAGAATAAGGCAATATTTTCCAGGGCACTGGCATTTAAAAAAAGCGAACAACTGGAAGCACCTGTTGACTGATAATTGCCAGATTAGAATAGAAAAACTAATGAGAGCCGTGTCTGTCACATTGCTAATGATTCTGACCTTTCTGTTTTCAACCAATAGGTTCTATTGCCACGCATAAATTCATTCTTCATCAATCATGGTTTCTTACCTGACGCCATTCGCGCTGAATAAATTCATGGCGTCCGACTGTCATTCAGTCATTCACTTGAACGCTAGAAGTCTTCGCAAGCTCTATGATGAATTTGATAACTTTTTTTGACACTTATTAAGGGCTTTTCAATTATTTGTGTCTCTGAGACATAACTTGGTCATGATGATAAGGACCTAAGTTGTTTTAAATCTTACTGCTCTGAATACTGTAAGGCAGTAGCAGCGTTGGGGTCACGACGGCGTTTATTAGGCCGAATCACCTGATCAACGTTTCGCACGAAGACGACGTTTTTTCGTGATGATGATTATATACAGATACAGAAGGTGAAGGTCAAATGCTGTAAATGTTGTGCTTACACTAGTTGCCCCCTCGCGCGGAAGTGGCCAACGTGGCCTCTGTTTATGACGGTGGTGTACGTCGCACGAATGGTTTTAAGCGCGACACGTGAACAACCTCCGTAACACAAAAATGGCCGTCGGAAGGCATGACAACAGAGTTTACTCGGTAGTTAACAGGAGACGTCTGCTCGACTATGGCGTAGGGGCCGATGAAACGTGAGTGAAACTTATCACACAGGCCGGGAACCCACGTTGGGCTCCACAACAGTACTTCGTCTCCAGCATTGAAGTGAACTACGCTGTGGACGCCATCGTAGCGAGTCTTCCGCTCTTGTTCGCTTGCCTCTGTATTGAGGCGGGTGCCGTCGGCGATAATCAGCCAGGCGAGAAATTAAGTGCTCACTCGAGGACAACGATGAGTTCACAGGGACGTCAAAAACGGAGATGTTGAGCGTAGATGTCGGTTGACGGCCATGGACGAGAATGCATGGGGAATAGCTCGCGGTGTGCTGCGTAGCACTATTGTACGCAAGTCACGAATGGCAGGATGGTATCCCAGTTAGTGTGGTCGGCGTTGGTATACATAGATATCATATTGGTCAAAGTTCGATGGAAGCACTCTGTGAGGCCATTAGTCTAGGGATGGTAGCTGGAAGTCATCTTATGAATTGTATTACTTGCGTGGAGGATGTGTTCGAGTAGTTTCGAGAGAAACGCCTTGCAGCGGTCGCTCAATAGGATGTAGGGCGCACCATGTCTCAGAAAGATTGCCTCCAGAAAAAAAAAAATGTGCCAATGTCCTCTGCCGATCCGGAAGGAAGTGAAGCTGTTTCGGCGTGCCTTGTCAAGTGGTGAACTGCTGTGACAATCCAGCGCTTGCCGCTAGTTGATATTGGTAGTGGTCTGTAGAGGTCAACGCAGATGACATCGAACGATCCCCTTGAGCGATGAGTGCTCACGGTGATGCGGCTATTTTTCTTTCACCTACTTTTCCATATACATTACGTCATGACTTTGAAATTATTATTTTCAACTGTGAATCGGTTTTCCTTGAGTTCAATTCTCTTGTCTTCAACATCGACAGCAAGAACTTACTCGTGGGCTGTATTTATCACTGGCCTTATTCGTCGATTTATGAGTTCTGCAGTGCTTTTGATCATGTTATCGAAGAAATATCGCATGCTAAATGCAACGTATTAATATTAGGTGACGTCAACATCAACCTCTTGGATACTGCTTCACCTAATTCTGCTAATTATTCTAGTACTTTTCGTAGCCATGAACACGGATGCTTGATTACTCTCCCTATGCGCTGTCCAATCAATAATGATGGCAGCTTGATTGATCATGCATTATCTAGTTTACTTGAACAACCTGATGCAAGAATTGTTACTACTGATATCACCCATCATTACCATATATTTTTACGCTTCCAGAATCTATCACCTTCAAAGAAAACAGTATATGCAATACATGTTTACGCCTGATAAACCAAAGCTAATTGATAGCCTGGCTAAAACTGAGTGTTTGGATGTTATATCGTGCATTGACCCCCAGAAAGCTTCTTTACAGTTTTTAGCTACACTATCATCGCATTTAAGCTCGCAATATTATGGGCAAAAGTGCAGAAAAAAGATGGCATCCCCACAAAACCCTTGGCTTACAGATAACCTTCTGAAAGCTATGCGGTCTTGAGAAAATATGTATGAAAACATAGAAGCAACCTTTCAATACCTAGTCACTTGCCCCTTATAGAAAAAGTTTCTAACTCACTTTCCGCTCAGCTAAGGAATGCGAAGAGGATTTATAACGAGGTAAAGATTGCTGAGTGCGGTTATAAGGCTAAAAAGAAATGTGAAATTGTGAACGCTTTTTTTAACCGCAGTAAGAACGCTATATCAAGGCCTGTGCATAACAGCGAAACATATAGTAATTTACTGGATATTGCGGATGCCTTTTGTGATGCTTTTTTAATATTGCCTCTGGTTCCGCTTCATGTTGTGAGATGTCTTTGAACCGCCAACCTCATTAATTCTTCCTTTTCCCGACTACTCCTGATGAAGTAATTTCGATTATTAAGGCCGTTAAGCCCACGAGTGCTGGCCTTGATAATATTAAAGCTCATGATATTAAAATGATTACTGAACACATTGCCCACGTTCTTTCATCAATCATCAACCTCGTTTTTTTTAAGTCTGGTATTTTTCCTCGTGAACTCAAACGCGGACGCGTGATTGCTGTTTTCAAGAAAGATGATCGTACATTGTTGCAGAATTATAGACCTATTTGCGTTCTCCCATTTCAAAATAAAGTTATTGCCCCGCCGCGGTGGTCTAGTGGCTAAGGTACTCGGCTGCTGACCCGCAGGGCGCGGGTCCGAATCCCGGCTGCGGCGGCTGCATTTCCGATGGACGCGGAAATGTTGTAGGCCCGTGTGCTCAGATTTGGGTGCACGTTAAAGAACCCCAGGTGGTCTGAATTTCCGGAGCCCTCCACTACGGCGTCTCTCATAATCATATAGTGGTTTTGGGACGTTAAACCCCACATATCAATCAAAATAAAGTTATTGAAAAAATAATCGAAAAGTGCACTACAAAGTATTTAAATAAATTCAGTATTCCTCCCCTCCCCCTATCAATTCGCCTTTAGTTCCGGCATTTCGGCAAATCTAGCGCTTATAATACTTACCGATTTTTTTCAAAAAGGCGATTGATAGAGGTGAATTTGCAGCATCGATAGTCGTAAACTTATTTAAGGCCTTCGACTCTATTAATTATCCCATTCTTTTTGCTAAATTAGAAGCTATTGGAATAACCGGTCCACCTTTGCTTCTAATGAAACGTTATCTACAGGACAGAAAACAAATAGTTGATGTTTCCGAATCTTATTCTAAAGAAGAAACTACTAACATGGGTGTACCGCAGGGGTCCATCTTAGGTCCCCTACTCTTCTTAATTTACATCAATGACTTACCGACTAGCCTTTCCTCATCTAAATGTATTCTATACGTGGACGACACGACAATATTTCATTCCAACGGCTGCCTATCCACACTAACAAGTATGCTAACTGAAGATCTTTGGAAAATCTGCTCTTGGTGTACACAGAACAAACTACAAATCAGCCATAATAAGACAAATTTTTTCATTTTTACCTTTCGCCAACGTTCGTCCGATCTTAATCAATCCATTTCCAGCAACCGTCACATTATCACTCCAATTGATCACCGTACATTTTTAGGTGTGGAACTCGACTGCCACCTCAAATTTCATCTTCGCGTGCCTAATGTAAAAAAAAACATGGCTCACGTTATACGCGTTCTTATCAAAGCGTGACTGAATTTCTCCTTTTCTACTCTCTTACCACTTTATTATGCTTTCGTTCATTTCCATCTTAGCTACAACATAAAACCATGGGCAACACATACAGCAGTCACCTGGCATCAGTTCAGACCATTCAAAACTGGGCCATTCGTCTGGGCCATTCGTCGAGTAGGCAGCACTACTCAATTACTCAGGGCTGGATGCCCAATGAGCTCTAGTCCAACGGGCGCGAGTAGCGTCCCTGTCCAGCGGGATCCCGAAATAAGGACTCCCCCTGTTTAAAGGGCCCTTATGGGTCTGCAAACTCTCTATAAATAAATGTTTTTCGCACACACACGCACGGATGATTCAAGACGTCAAGCAGTATAGTCGAACAACTGATAGAAAAAGTACTGCATATCATTCACAAAGCCCCACCACA